ACTGTGTTGCCTCTCTTCCCCCATTATAAGAGAAAACAAAACCTAAACAAATATTTTAAAAAGCCAAAACAAAGTGATAACAGAGTAAAATGCAAGCAGTTATAGATTTATTTTTTTTTAATCCAGCACATCAGCCTTGTGCTACAAAATACTTCAGTATTTTAAAATGACTGTTGTGACTGAATTTCCTGTTGGCTTATTTAATTCTCATTCTGGTTTTCCTCGTGCATTTGTGGCAGTGACTACATGTATATTTATGAGCTACGTTTTAATATTAACCCCTTTGAAAAATGCAGCCGAACTTGTAGGGGGTCACGTTTCTAAATGCTGACATTCAGGCAAATAATCTGTTCGAAAAATCAGGAGCCGAACCAGTTCTTTCCACTCCTCCTCTACCTAGTAGCATTTTATTACCATATTTTCTAACCAACAACATGGCCTGTAATATAACAGGCACCTTGTTTTTGAAAGGCGCAGTATAAAGAAGAAAACACTTTTCCAGAGTTAGTTATGGCTGCATAGAGCAGGGACAGAACCTAATCTTTAGCAGACTCATCCACACTTTCCTGCTTAACTAAAGCTGAAACTCTAGTTGTTGGTGCAGACAAGTCCCCTGCATGGATCTATGCTTTTGAAAACAAGTAAAGTGTCTCCAAGGCTCTGAAACAGGAAGAGAGAGAGACCAGAAGCAGACAGCAAAATTGCACTAAGAAAGGTTAACTTGATTAGTTGAATGTCGAGCCCATTAAAAAGGAGAGAGGATCTTTAGCACCACTGGAGTGAAGAACAATTTACTCCCTCAACTGCCTGAACAGTAACTCAGTAGCTGCTGCACTGTTGAAGCTGTCGTCAAAGCTGGGTGCTTCTGTCTTGGGCACAAAATCGGCTTCCATGCTTAATACGTTAGTTTTGGGGGATGGGATGGGACTGATTTTAAGGAAAAAGGTATAGGTTGTATGGGAGGAAATGCAGAATGTGCTGGTAATTGTCACAGGTGCATGCAAGATGCCGATATGAGAAGACTGACTGCTCTGATGATCTTACAACTGAAGTAACAAAAAAAAAATACACTGAAAACATGGGGAGGTCTGGAAGTACTGACTTTGAGTTCTAATTTAGTAATAAATTAGATCATTACCTTACCCTTCACAAACAGATGGCTGTCCAAGGTCACACAGTAAGCCAGTGTGAAAATGGAACCAGTGGTCCCAACTCCCAGTCCCACACTGTAACCAGTACAACATTTTAAGTGGAAAGTGCTTGTGGAGCCCTATGCCAGCATGTCCTAAACACTAGTCTCTTTTACCTGAAATGAGTAGCAATACCTGGTCCTGCTTATATGAAAGGCTGTGCTGTTTTGGGGAGTTGGGGTAAATCCATGTTGTGCGAGAAGCAGATTTGGATTCTAGTTATTAATTACTGGTTCAGGTGAATTATGCTAAGGCATTATATAAGGGAAAGTTAAATTTCTTCTGCCTTAAAATTTATCGCTTTCCCTGTATCTTAATTCTTGTAGAAACCCCCCACAGATACGGTAGTTCTTCTGCTCTCCTCTGTCAGGGAGTTTTCTATAGGAAAAACACTGAAGATCTTGCTACAGGAAACTGTGAAGAAAGAGAGCAGAAGAGCTGCCGTTTTTTTTTTTTTTTTTTAAATCTTTGTTTCTGTTTACAAGAAATTAAGATGAAATGAAGTGATGAACGGGCTTGTCAATGCTTCAGTCAGGCCAAACAGTTGATCTCAGCTGTAGACCGTGGTAATGTTCCATTGCAATTTGACAGCAGCTGTCCAAAAATACATTAGTGTTATGCCCCTGGAGCAGTGGTTCTCAGCCTTTTTAAACTCAAGGCACCCTTTGTTAGAATCAAGGCACACATTGATATGCCAATTGCCAGCTCTTCGTTTTTACTCAGTTTTTGACTGCAGAAAAGTACTCGAGCGATTCTGTTACAAAGATCTTAGAAAAACCACGAGGTCAGAATGTTTTTAATACTTGGGGCGTTTATACATGTGCTCAGGGAGGGGGTTGGCTTTAATTGGAGCCACTCAGAGAGCCACTCTGATTAAGGTGCCCGGAGTGTCACATGTGTCAGCAACCCTGCACTGAAAAATAGTGGCAGGAGCACTTTAACTAAAGCTGGTCGAACGAGCTTTAGTTGAAGCACCCCCACTGCCATTTTGCGGAGCAGGGACGCTGATACACGTGCCACTGGAGTCTGCTGGAGTGTGGTAATTACCACTCTCCAGCAGACTCGATTAATTGATTCTGCTCTGACTCATTGTAATTACAGCACGTTGGAGCAGCCTCAGTGCACGTGTATAGGCACCTGTGGATTCCCATTTGAAATATCTAGGTTTATCTTGCTACTTGTGTTTGCACATCTAACAGTGCTAACGTTGCATGGCACCCTTGAAAGGATTTCACAGCATGATGGTTGAAAATTACTGTTCTAGAGCATGGCTGCCAAGGGAGTTGACTTATAAGGAGGCAATCTCAGCATCCAATTTTGCAGCCTTTACTCACAGGAGTTGTTCTTTTGAATTCTCTGAGAATACTCACATGAGTAAATTTTCAAGACTGGTCCCCTAGTCATCTTCCTTTTGCAATAATATGTGGATATAAAAATGTTGCTTTGGGAGAAAACTGACAGATGTAGCTGTTTTGTTTTCAACAGAGCTTTGCCCATGTAAGGTTTGCAGAGAGAAACCCAGTGACATGCTGATCAGTTTTCCAGTGTAAAGCTATTACTGTCTCTACAAAAACCAGAAACAGGGGAAGGAACTCAGAATCCCAGTGGGTAAAATAGGACCAACTACTACATAATAGCTGCTACAAAGCTGAAGAACTTTGGGTGTAATGAAATGAAGGTATAACTAATTGGTGGTCCATCTAGAGCAGTGGTGCTCTGCCATTTAGACGCATGGAACAGAGGAGTGGCTGGCCCAGCCCCGCACCTCCAATCTAGGGTGGCCATCATAGAGGGCAGTCTGGTTGTCCTCTGTCCTCTTGAAGAGAAAAATAGAGAATATAACGGCATCAGGTTTCATATCAGCAGAGGACAGAGGACAACCGGACTGTCCTCTGTGATGGCCACCCTAGATTGGAGGTGCAGGGCTGGGGCAGCCACTCCTCTGTTCCATGCGTCTAAATGGCAGAGCACCACTGCTCTAGATGGACCACCAATTAGTTAGCTATAGATGCAGTTATGTCCTCTATTTTTCTCTTGAAGAGAGAGAATTTTTTTTCTTGAACAGAAAAATAGAGGACATAACAGCATCGGGTTTTGTATCAATAGAGGACAGAGTAGCAGAAAACTGGAATGTCCTCTATAATAGCCAGCCTGCTCTAATCTAGCGTGCAGGGCCACACTATCTGGCCTGCTGGTCTCTTCACAGATTCAGCGATTTGGCAATAGGGGAGTGCCAGTTAATATTGCTCTGCCCTGTTGCCAGTTTTTTGAATCCTCGGATAGCCCTTTGTGGCAGATAACACTGTTTCATGGGCTGGATCTGGGCCATGGGCTGAGAACCCCTGATCTAAAGGAACGAATGGTCAGAATGATTCAAATGAAAGGAAATGCTCCATATATTCATGTTAGATTTTAGTACTGCTGAAAAGAAAGTCTTGTGACTCAGTGTCTCCACTGGTGTGCAGACATCTATAGAACATTTGGAGAATTGTAGAATATGTGTAAACCAGGATTACTCACGAACACTGCCAACGAGCGCCCAAGAAGGAAGAGGTGTGCCCCTTTATTGCCTTGTGCTGGTCTGAGCCTTAACGTAGAACAAAGCAGGAAAGAGCTTTTAATAGTAGATTTAATAAAGATGTTTTAAGTCCTTGTGAATTTTTATAGGTTAAAGAAAACTATGGGTCTCTTTGGGGAATATTTATCCTATATTAAATCTGTCTAGGCAGTCTTTGGACAGGAATAAGATTTGCCCTGGTGTTGTTCCCAATGAAGTGACGGTGCTGTCAGAACTCCTTTTTTCCATATTGTTTACAGTCTAATAATAAGAATTGCAGTCTCGCAAACTGATGTGAAAATTTATCTGCTGAAACACGAAAACACGCTCCAGCCTCATAAGAGTGGTGATTAAGACTGATGATTCGCTTTCCCATTTAAAAAACAAAAACAAACCAGGCATATAGTTTTTCAGCTAGGTGAATAGTAGAGTTTTATAATGCTGCCTTACAGAGTTGGTTAAAAAACCCCAGGTAATTATTCTTACATATTGCATTTGGGGGCAGGTTTTGTATTAGAAGTGTATCCTGTTCATTTGTGACTGCCTCAGATTGACTTCTGGCTGAACAAAAATTAATGAATGGTTGTCAAGTACCTTTTGAGGGCTGTATAATAACTGAATCTCCTTTCATTGACATCAGTGGAATAGTTTGCACGGATGTTGGTGACATCAGTGTTGAAAGTACACATGGCAGCTCTGCGCTTGTCTTCAAAATAAAGAGGTACTTATTTAATTGAACTGTTCAGCATGGGATTCTAATACAATGTATTCTTTCTTTCAGAGGGAAGTGTAACATCTCCCATTTTTCTGACATATTTGCTGCTAGAGAGTTTAAAGCCCGAGTGGATTCATTTTTCTACATATTGGGCTACAATCCAGAGACGAGGTAAGTGAGGCAACTCCTCATCCCACTAAGGGAAAGCTTTACTGTAGACTTGCGTGGTAGGAATATGGTCTGTACCACAGGAAGGAAAAGTCAAAGCCGAGGTATCAAGTGTGGTACTGAAGGAGAAATTTGTCACATTTGCAGAAATGCACTGTTGCATATAAAAGATAAAACAGCAATTTCTAATTGAGGAGTGTGGCAATCGCCGATAGCACTCATTGTTATGCCCGGTAGAAATACTACTGAAGGTTTTATCTGTCATCTTTTTCCTGGAAAGACTAGCAGAGATCTGTGTAGTAAGAGAAGAAAAATCTTTGGGAAAGGGGGGGAAATAAGATTGGGGGAAGGAAATATTGATACTGTCTATATATTGAGCAAAAATAAACAGTGGCTGGCAAGGCTCCACAGGAACTCCTGACATTTAATAGGAGAGAGAATGTGCCTTCAAAGTATTTTGTCAAAAATATGGTTAAAAGGGAGTTGTTGGGAGAATTAATAAGAGTTAGCAGGAATATACAAGTCCCCCAGTGGGTTTATAGTGTATTGCTAGTAACACCAACACATTTTTCTTGTAAATGCCATTGAAATTACATGTCAATTGAAAGATGTCTCTGTGATTTTCTGCAAGTGAGGCAGCTCATTGTAAACTGGGTAAGAAAGTACCTTTAGGCTAACTATCCTGACCTTGTGCCAATTTGGAGAGAGATGGACAGAAATGCAAATCCAAATCTATTTAGAAACAGGTGCGTGTCAGAAGGAAGGTGCATTCAGCATGCTCCTGTCATTCTGTGTAGCTCTCTGAAGCTACACAAAATGGGAATAGTATTGTAAATGTAGGTGATGCTTTACACATGCTGTCTTAAAGAGCTAGGAGGGACCTTGTCCTGCAACCATGTGCTTCCAGGGGGAGTGACTCACAAGTGGGCATTATGCCCTGATGAAGGATGTCGTTTTCTTATGCAGAACAATTAACCTGTAAAACTTACTATCATTATGTTGAGGGCAAGTAAGATTTAAATAGGGATTAGACATTTATGTAGGTAATAAGCACATCCATTGTTGCATTACAGATTAAAAGTTTTATAAATGCACAGATCTTTGCTTTAGGCTTACAAACCCAACCACAATCTGTCTGCAGTTACCAAGATGCACCCTATGTGGGCAGATCATTGCATTAATTGTGTCATGACGTTTCCTGTACCTTTCTGTGATGCCTCTTACACAGACCACATGTCTGAGTCTAGGTATCAGACTGGCTGGACCACTCAGTTGACTTGGTTTAGCAGCCCCTACATTCAGAAGGGATGTTTGCAGTAACAGGCCTTGAAGTGCTGTGTATCCCAGCGGCGGCAAGGAGCTCTGGAAAAAGGCATAAAGATCACGTGATGTTTACAAGAGTCTTCTAATTCACTGTACTGCATTTGAGAACATAAACAGCTTTTCCTCTGTTTTATTTGAGCAGTATAAATTGACAAGGTCTGCGTTATTGTTGTCATGATATACCTTTTGTGATTGACATTCAAGGGGTGTTGACTTAAACATCACACTTCTCTACTTCATTTTTGATTGCTTTTTTAATGGCTTTTAATTTTTAGTGGGAGGTGTGAATATCAGATGAAATATTTCTGTTCTGGTTTGATAGCAATTGATAGCTTCCCTTGAGAAATGCCACTTGTGTGGCCCAAAGCAGTGCAGTGCAGTTTTAAATCCTTCTTTCTGTATAGAGCTAGCAGCTGCTGAGTTTCTCATGGTTGTTTGAAAATGACTGATGCTGAGAAGATGAATGGAGTAATGACACTGCATAGCACTGTTAGGCTTGTATAGTGCTTTGAAAAAGTAATCAGCTAATTACGTAGAAAAGCCAGCTCTCCAAACGTGCTTTTTGTCTGATTGGATCCAGCTAGAAACTCTTTTGAAATGCTAGTTTCTCAGAGCATATTCAGTTTTCGATCAGTGCCTTTTAGCTGTTGTTTACACAAGAAAATTAGGTTCGGGTTTGGCTTGAACGTTTCGACTAATTCTGATCTAATCGCAACTTCAAATTTCCAAGTGTTTCACAGGTCCTTTTACCTTGATTAACCAGCTCGGAGTAGAGCCTTATTCAGGCAAGGTCAAAGCATTGCACGGCACCTCTGCTAGGATAAAAGTTATGGGTGGGTTAAGATGAGTTAGTAAAATCCAACAGTCAAGTTGGTGAAATCCAACTTCTTTTTTCAGGTGGTAATGAATGTGCAACGTTCTCTTCAGATGCAGTTAAAAAGCCGAGTCCTGTGATCCGATTGGGTCCTGTTTATAATGCAAATGGATATCATACAGTAGCCCTATTTACTCACATGACCATCTCACTCAGCTGAGCAATCCAAAGTTTTGGAAGTTTGTTTTTTTATCATAATTTACAAAGAAGTGTATGTTTACTTTCTTTCTTTGGTGTTTAATCAGAGAACTAGTCCTGAGCTAAGGGGTGTCTGACTTGAAAATAGTTTTTATACTTTGTTTTTAGACACCGTCTGTATAGTGTTCAACACACACTTGATACAGCATGTGTATTTGTCTTACAGAGCTTGTTCTATTTACTGCTGAAGACAAGTTTCTTTGTGCTTTGCCAGAATTAAGACACAGCTCAGCCTGCTGAGAATTCAGCTGTTTTTGCTTGCTCTTGGAGAACCATCCAGAGCAAGATAACAGGAAGCAAATTCTCATTTATTCTTTATGGTGCAGCAGGCAGTAAAACCTTTGCAGGGTGTATACATTAAAAGTGCACCATAAAAGTGTAAAGCTGTAGTATTTTAAAAGAAACACCCAAACTTTTCATGGTGGAGGAGTGATTGATGAACCCTCTTGTCTACGAGTGTCCACAGTGTTTAAAGGAGAAGAAGTACGGTTATATATTTTCTTTTTAAGAACCTGCTGAGTTGGGATTTAGTAAGGTGAAAAATCAGGGCAGCCTTATTGATGATCATCTTGTAGTTCCAAAGGTGACTTGTGTTTTCAAGTTGCTTTTTACTTCACAAACTGTATCTTGGACAGTTTTGTCCTGCGCATCCTTGTAAGTGATTCCATGTTGCACTTTACTGGTTGACCGCAGGTGAATGGGGAAAAACTAATCTCAGAATAAAAGATTAGTCTTGAATATGTGTAGCAAAGTTATCCACCTTCATATTGACTACTTAAACAAGTCAGTAGATAGGTCTGAAATATAATTCCAATACTCCTGGATCTGGAATGTATCCGCTGAACTTATGCAACAAACTCAGAAAGGATGTACGTGTCATACCAAGCACTTCACAATAACGAAGCTAAATAAAGTAGTTGTTAGAGAAGAAATGCATGGGGGAAGAGGGAGTAGAAAATCTGTACAGTAGTCCTTTTATTTTCATGCCCAGTGACATTTCAAAACCAGTTTTAGAAACATGGTTAGTATGTCCATCCAGAGAAAGTTACAGCTGTCAGTGGGCTTTGCAATGTTAATTCTACCCCATTTCACTTGGCTTCTCAGAAGCACCCAATTTAATTCAAAGTTGGAAATCAGCAAGCTAAAAGTTCAGTAGCTTATTTAATTTATTAGCTGTTAACTAGAGCTAAATAAGCTAACTTTGAAATGAGTCAGTCACATGAAACGTTTGCATTTTCAGTGTGTTTGCTTATTTCTAAGCTCCAATGCTGTAGCGTGTTCCCCGTCCCAGGCTGTGGCCAGATTCTGTTCCACATATTAGACATCTGCATGTCATTAGTTTACCTGGTTCAAGTCTCTGAAAATCCATCAATGCACCTACCGTCATCTTACCTTTAAGAGCAAGTCGCTGAAAGGCAGCTAGAAGGAAGAGGATGCACCCACCATTTTGCCTTAATTATTTTTCTGGCATTCAAACAGGGAGGAATAGAATCGCACTTTATTCCCTTATAGCCTTTTTATGTGTGTAAGAAGTGGGCTAGAATCTGGCCCCTGGATTTCCACTGAACTCTTTGAGGGTCTACAGATTTCAGGATCTGGGCTGCTCTTTGCATTACCAGATGGTCAGTGATGACCTCCTATTTTGTTGCTAATTACATTTGTATAAAACTGTTCAAAACTTGAGTTACTTTGAATTGATTAGAATATCTTAAGTGTTGCACTGAAGTTTCCATAGTAATCTTTGGTGTTGGATAAAAATACCTTCATAAAGTTAGGGTGTCTTTTGTTTTGTAAGTAACCAAGCTTTAAATTCACCCGGAGGTGCACAAGTGCTAGGGGATATAGCTCATATAGATGTCCAAGCCTAAATAGAGGATGAGATGAAAGGGTTAACATACTCCTTTCCAAACCTTGCTGTCTACAGTTAGTCTTTCTCTCTCAGGCTTTTGTTTTGGAAATTTTTTTTTTTAAATTTCTCTCCAGTGTTGTCTCCCCTTGTCAGAGCCCAACTTTTGCTGCTCTGTCTGAACCTGGGCAGGGTTTTATGCAGGCCAATGGAGGTGATGGAGCTGTACTTCTTACATCGTCTGAAGTGCGCGTGCGACAAAATGGGTTTACAAAGCTCACAAAGGCTATTGAATTCTACTCAAGAAGCATTAATAGGCAAAGCAAATTGGAACTGATGTACCATTTTACAAAAACAGGCACTACGCGGGCCTGAACTAAGCAGCCATTCTTGTCATTTATGAGCTGGAATTCAGCTCAGCCTGTAAAAACAAGAAGCAAGGCACACTGTTGCACTAACAACTTGACTTCTGTTAGCTCCGTGTTCAGTGTGCTCCCTCCCAGTTCACAAAACCACTCATTCCTCCCTTGGCCCATTGTCCAACTAGAGAGAGCGAGCATGCAATGCAGTGCGTACATGTCTCTGAAGAGAGAAAAACAAGTTTGTTCTGGCACACAACGCTCCTTTAATTTGGTGCTCCAGATCTGTGGCTAAAGAACTTCATCCCCAACACCAGCTTCTTCCCCTCAGGCTGGAAGCTGCCCTGCAGGGCCTGGACTGCTCTTAACCATCTCAGAACGGGCGTTGAACAGTTTAAGGTGA